ATGTCTAAATTGCGATATCTTTACTTTTCTGGAAACTATACACGAAGGGCTACAACTTGGATTTTTGAATCATCTCAAAATTACTTATATATCAAAAGATATGAGCTTCCAAAGTAGGACCAGCAGAACGTTTCTTCACCGCGGCCGCGCCCACTTTTGTGTGGTCCGCACGACACCTACCGCGCCCGCGCCCGCTTTTGTGCGGTCCTCACTGCACTCACCGCAGGCGCACTTATTTTTGTGCGGACCGCGTGGGTGAGTTTTGGGGCCTGCAACCCTCCTGGAACTGTTGCAGCTATGATTTTCGGCCTAAAACATCCCGGAACCTATCTGGGACCTCCGAAACTTCAAACTAATTGTACCAACACTTCCCATGACATCGTTCAAACTTGTTCAACACTTCGAAACGCTTACAACAACATCAAATCATCAATTTAACATAGGATTCAAGCCTAAGAACTCCAAGAACTCTTAAATTATGCTTTCGATCAAAAAGTCTATCAAATCACGTCCGAATGACCTGAAATTTTGCACACACATCCCAAATGACACAACGAAGCTACTGAAACTCTCGGAATTCCATTCTGACCCCTATATTAAAATCTCGCCTATCAACCGGAAATTGCCAAATATCTATTTCGTCAATTCAAGCCTACATCTTCTCTACAACTCCAAAACCTATTCCGATCGCGCTTCTAAGTCACAAATCACCTCCCGAAGCTAACCGAACCATCGGAACTCACATCCGATCCCTCTAACACATAAGTCAATATCTGGTTGAATTTTTCAACTTAAGCCTTCTTAAAAGAGACTAAGTGTCTCATTTCTTACCAAAATCCTCTCCGAACTCAAACTAATCAACCCGATCACATAAAACACGGATAACGAATCATAAAGTAGCTGAAGTGGGGGAAAACAGAGCGGTAACTCATGAGACGACTGGCCGGGTCGTCACATATTTACATATAAAATATTCGTTTGCCCGATTTATCAATATTAATATGACTTTATTATTCTTGTTATTGAAATATTTTTTGCTCATTATTTAATACCTTATAAATAATTTGTATACTTTATATAGGATCTAATTTTGCTGCTTGAATTTTTTAAAATTTTAAAGTCAATTAATCTTTAATATCTTAAGTAAATTTTAGTTTTATTTTATATTTTAACTTGCTCCAAAGTATAAATAGACATAGGTTATCTCAATTTACGTCTTTCTATATTTTTTTCTTTTTTTCTTTTATAGTTTTTAAATTAAATTTTTACCTTCATAATTCTAGTTAATATAAAAGAAAATCTATGAGTGAATCAATATATAGATATAAATATAGATNATATATATATATATATATATATTAGATTTGTCTAAGATCTATTTAGATTATGTATAAGATTCATTCAAGCACTTCCATTAATTATGTTTCCATTTATAATTTTTAATTTTTTTTTGGTAACTAAAACTTTTATTACCAAGTAATTTTTACACTGATTTGCTATAGCTTGTTCTGGACATACGCCATAGACTAAGCTACTTCTTCCTTTCCTCTAATCTCCCCGTATCTCTATCTATACATTTCACTAAACAGTAGGATAAGAATTCAATTCAATCAGTTTCCTTTTCAAGCATTTCTTTACATTTCCTCTACAATGTATATCTTGTGCTAAACTTCTAGTAATTGTTTCAGCAGTTCTCTGTATTTCTTGAAAGACTTTAGCACTCCTTTCTTGCCAAATATAGTATATGCTACCAACCAGTATCATCCTGTAGATTTCAGCAGCTGCACTTCTACCACGACAGTGTTGTTCAGCCCATTGCAGCTCATGTTCCCAATCCATAACTGGTCTAACAATCTTCAGCCATCGTAACATAGTAACCCATATTATCTTTGAGAATGGGCATACAAAGAATAAGTGATTCATGGTCTCTGCTTCTGCATTGCATAACGGACATGAGTCATCTTCTACACATCCCCACCTTTTCAATCTGTCTCTTATTTGGAGTCTTCTGTGAGCAGCCAAATATATCATGAATATCCATTTTGATAATCTAGCATTGTTCCAGATGATCCTTCTCCATGAAACTTTACTGAATTCTCCTCTATTCTTCAAGTACACATCTTTAATACTGAAAGTCTTCATTCTAATACATCATCCTTTGTGTAACCAGCTTCTGCAAAATATTTCTTGGATTTAAAGATTTTTTGAATCACCCAAGATACCTGCTTTGGTTCAGTCCCCCAGCCAGGATTGTACTTTTTATAGTATACATGAACCCATTGCACCCATAATTTATCCTTTTTTTTACACAAGTTCCATAGTAGCTTGCACATCGCAGCTTTGTTCCATGTGCCTGTATCCATCAAATTCAAACCACCTGCTACCCTTGGACAACACAATCTATCCCAAGCTATAAGTGCCTTCCTTGTACTCTCAACATTTCATGTCCATAAGAATTTTCTACAATTTTTTTAATTATTAATGTTATTTTAAAATTGCCAAGTAGCTTTATTTTAGCTTGCTACTTGGCTTAACATCATGCTTCACTACCCTTCTTTTAATATAATATAGATATAAATTTAATAAATTGGGAAACTAAATAACGGGGAGTACATTTGAGCTTCTAATTGCCAACACAAAAAGGAATGTCTCCGTCATCTAATTGGCTTGATCCCTTTTATTTATCGCTCTAGATTCTAGAAGGTGTGAGATGATCAATCAGATCATAAATCTTGAAAAAGCTCAAGTTATCTTCTCGAAATAGATGGATAGGAAGAGAAAAGGAAAATCAAATAAAAAGGGTCAAATTAAGAGCCCGTTTGGAGAATTTTTTCTCCTTTTTCCAATTTTTTTCCCGAAATCAGCATTTGTTCATAAATTTTTCAATTTTTCCTAGAAGATGCATTTTAGAAATTTTCGAAAATTTTAAAAACTCTAAAAAACTTTTTTTCAAAATTTTCACTCAAATCACTCACAAAACTTCAAAAACAACCCAAAATTATATTCATGTCCAAACACTACTCTAAATTTCAAATACCATTTTCACTTGAAATTTTTTCCCCCTATTTTGGAATTTTAAAATTGCACGGGCGCCCTATTTAACCTATACCCATTTTTTTAAAACTTTTAACTTGTACCCACTTTTTAAATAACTTCAGTCCTCTTTCTCCTCCTCCTTTTCTTCTTCAAGTTACAAAATAAATTGGTATTTATCTCCAGAAGCAACGCTGCTTTAGTTATAAGGTCAATTTTTTTTTAATTGAACAGTTTGACAATTATACTTCTGCCCCAAATTTACAGCAAATTAGTCTTAAAAAAAAGTTTAAGTTACCAGTAAGGTTTGTATTGGATTGCTCACTGTTGGAAAGCATTTTTGTAAGGCAATTGCTTCTATTTAAATATTTCTGCACAAACTTTGTGAAACCCAAGCCAGGTCGAGCAAAATGAGACAAAAGAGAGTGCTATATTCTCTAACTAATATATCACAAAATTCATTCTTGGAAGCTACAGTAAAAAGGCACAGAAAGATTAAGAGGAGATAATTTTACATTTTCAGAGTTGGTATTTATACCCATCTGTTCAAGAGAAAGCTTCATTTATCCCATTGATTTACAAGAAAAGAAAGAATTGCTTTCTTATATTCAATGCTTAATTTGAAAAGAAGGAAAGACTTTTTCCTTGCTTAGAACTTGGGAGAACATCAACAGAGGAACTGCAGTTATCTTTCCAGTGTCTTCGTTTTCTTTTTTAAGTAACATGTACTATACAATGATTGGCAGAAAACCATCTCTGGATGTCAGTGGACGAAGATCTGTCACTTCATTTAGTAGGGAACAAGATCTCTCAGTTACAACACAAAAACTTCAGCTCTAGTTACAACACAAAAACTTCAGCTCTAGAGCTGAAGTTTCCAGTTACAACACAAAAACTTCAGCTCTAGAGCTGAAGTTTCGCAGTTACAACACAAAAACTTCAGCTATAGAGCTGAAGTTTTCAGTTACAATACAAAAACTTCAGCTCTAGAGCTGAACTTCAGGCCCGACTACTAGAATGCTGAAGTTTTGCATGATTGCCTTTGCAACTTCAGCCCTGTGTGCTGAAGTTATGCGAAAAAGCGGGTGCATTTGCAATTGTTTTTGCAAAGCGGACACAAGTTAAAATGTGACACAAAAAGCGGGTATAAATGCAAATGCCCCATTCTTATGTCCAAACGCCCACCAAGATGTTAAAATAGCACGGTATAGCCAGTTTTCAGACTGGTCATTCAAAAATAGCCACCGTTTACGAAGTTAATGAAAAATAGCCACTATTTTGCTGCAACAAAGACCAGTCCCGCATAATATACGGGAGTTCGGTGCATCTGTGTACGAACTCCAGCATATTATGCTGGACCGGTATACTTTGCTGACTCCTGTATAATATACAGGAGACTGGAGCACCGGTGCTCCAAACTTCAGTATATTATATTGGACATTTATACTTGCTGGAACTCCAGTATATTATGCTGGAGTTCTAGTGTACTTATGCTGGAACTCCAACATATTATGCTGGAGTTCCAGCATAGTTATCCTGGAACTCTCGTATAATATGCTGGAGTTCAAGCATACTTATGCTGGAACTCTAGTATAATATACGTGCGTATTTTTCGGGTTTTGAACAGTGTTTTCGCTCAGATTTATCTTTACATGAAAAATAACTAAATTTCGATTACTTTTAAAATTGAGGTATTTTTGAATGACCAGTTGTAAATCTGGCTATTTTTAAATTTCTCACCGCCAAGATTCCACCCATGGAGCGAATTACTGAAGAAAAAGAAAAAAGAAAAAAGGAGGAGAAATACATGGAGCGCACCACCGGGGCGTACAGGAGTTAAAATGAAGATCCGACCCTTGGATCAACCCAAGGGTCAAACAAAACCGATATCAGTAATAATATTCCAGTTGAAAATAAATAAATAATATTCCAGCTTCACCAAACAGCAAACCAAAAAGTCCCAAAGCTGACAATTATATAAAGTGCCCATATCTCGTACGCGCAATATTGCAATTTCATCTCTCTCTCTCTCCTTCTCATGTTCTTAACATTGAGAAAGTGCGTAGACGCTCCGTGTTGTCGCCAGCAGCTCTCCTCTCATCGTGCCGCGACACAAGGCTGTTCCTCTCTCTCACATTTGCGGAAATAGGCTATTTCGTGTGAAAATAGGGAGATCGTTTTACTCCCTTCAATCAATTTCCTGATAACGAAAAGGACAATTGCTTTAACCCAGCGCATTTGCTCCGATCGGTTGGACGGCTCCTTTCATTTTTGTTTTGCTTCAATCGTAAGTACATCCTTTTCATTTTTTCAGATCTGCTGTGTTTAACATTTCCCCCCCGAATATTTTGGCTCGTTGTATCGATTTTTATCATTAATTCAATTAATTGAGTTCTCCATTATTTTGACTGTTCGTTGTACTTGCTCCTTTAGATTTTTTTGGGAACTATTCAACTTAGGTTCTATTGAATTAAGATCCATAGGGATTTTTGTGATTCTGTAGATTTAATGTCAATAGGATTTTTGAACATATTTTCCCAATTTGGAGTATAGAGTCAAATATGTTAATTCCTAATGCCACTGTGTACTCTGAATGACTGCTAGTGAGCGTGTTATCTGCATGCTGAATTTCTGCTATTGGGTTTATAATTTTCAAACTCCTACACAGAAATGGTTTAAGTTTATCGAAGGAGTAATTGGACCTAGTTCCCCCCTCTATCAAAAACTTATTTAGCTTAGTTCCCCAATTTGAACTTTAAAGTGGATTTCTGCATTGGCATTTTCTAGATTTTTTTTTGATGCTGCCATCATCTACTGAGTATCATCTTATCTGTGGGGAAGAATCCACAATTCCGTGATGGTGCATGAACTCAGTCCAAGTGGCTATAGGAATCAATCACAGATGCTAGTAAATAATGCCTGAATATATTGCTTTATTTGATGTATTTCCCATCTTAATGGATCTCCCCTTTCCTTTAGAAATGGATAGTGTATGAAACCATTCTTGGTAAAATTGATTATGAACAAGTAAATTAGATGAATCTCAATTAAACATGTTAGTTATTATTCATAGTTGTGACCAAAACTAAGTGAGCAGTAATCATCTTCATCATGCTCTCTCCCAGGTTATTCTTGGCTATTCATAATTTACATCTCTATCTTTTTCCTGATCCCTCTGACCCTATCTATATAATTTGCACATCTAACCAATTTAGTGTAAGAAGAAGGACGAAAGACATAAGATGCCTATTTTGCGAGCCCTTGTCTTTGCCATTACTTCTACTTTCATCATTGCCATTCTGTAATTCTTGCTTTGTTGTATATTATTCATCCTGTTTTTAATATTATATTTCGTCTCTCTACTACTGATATAGACATCCTTTGGGGTTGCTTGGGGCGAATCTTTTTGAGAAATTGCATAAAATACAGTTACTATGTTGTTTTGCTCACCACACTTGTGTTTTTCTCTTCCTCCACCATCTGTGGTGCTTTACTTGGGGTTGACTGTGTTGGTTTTTTAAAAGATGGGGCAGCAAAAATATTAAAAGTATTGATTGAAAAAGTCTCTCAAATAATTTTATTAAGCATAACAAGACTTTAAATAGCCAATTTTAGAACAGAATCTGCAGAGGAGAATAAATATTCAAATTCAAAAACCTAAACTATCTCAACCAACTTATCCTATTAAATTTAAATTTAAACAAAGACTCCTCCTTTGACTAAAATACTTATTATTCTGGTAAATCAAATATCAGCAGTAACAAATGCAAAATCCAACACTCCTCCTTGCTTTTGTTGCTGCATTGGGTTGATCTTCCTCAATTTCTACTTTGGCAATTTGTGCTTGTGCATTCTTTCAAGTGTTTTTGAACTTGCATCCATATGCAATTTCTTTTCTTTTTTTTTTGTTTTGCACATANTTTTTTTTTTTTTTTTTTTATCTTTTTGGTTTTGCGCATAAAAACAATCTAAAAAATTTTATCACATAAGGAACAAGTGGAAAGATCTCAAGTAGGTAGCCAATGTTGATTTTTCTCCAGATCTTGGCTTGGTAGTGAAAAACTTTTTCAGAAGAAAAATTCATGCATTTCAAAGTTATGTAATATATAGCAGCAAAAGTAGGTTCAAAATTAACATGTAAAATGCTCAACAATTTCAATCTTGCATTCTCTATTTTTTCATTGTGTTTATTTGTTGCAAAGATCACAACTTCCTTTGATTTTTCAAAAGCTTCAAAATAATATTTCATCTTCACTGACCAAATTCGAAAGTTTTCATCAGTGAAAGTTTGTGGGGCATTGAATGAGAGACTGCTGCTTGCCATGTTTGAAAATGGGTTTAAAAATTGATATTGATTAAAATTGATTTGAAAATGGTTTTTTGGAAGAACTCACCAATCCCGTAAGATCAATGAAGCTCTGATACTACTGTTGGTTTTTTAAAAGATGGGGCAGCAAAAAAATTAAAAGTATTGATTGAAAAAGTCTTTCAAATAATTTTATTAAGCATAACAAGGCTTTATATAGCCAATTTTAGAACAGAATCTGCATAAAATCAGAATTAGGAGAATAAATATTCAAATTCAAAAACCTAAACTATCTCAACCAACTTATCCTATTAAATTTAAATTTAAACAAAGATTCCTCCTTTGACTAAAATACTTATTATTCTGGTAGATCAAATATCAGCAGCAACAAATGCAAAATCCAACATACTGTCATTGAATCTAAATATATTTCACTTCCATATTGAAGTCCGTCAACACTTCTTAATGCTCTATGCTTTCTGTTGATGCTTTTGGTGCTTACCATGTTGATTGAAATATATGCAGGAATTGTGATCGGCTGCAGAAGATTCACTGTAAAAGTTATGGCTCTTGACAGCATAATAACTTCTCCTCATAGAAGGTCACAGACACAGACAGCATTTTCATCTTCAGCCTCACTCAAGAGACAATATTCCCGATGTGACGAGTTCGGAAGCTGCTCAACATTACTTCAGCGCCACCGATTCCTTCTAACTGCGCTTGGCCTCCTAGCTTTTCTCTGCACTATCTATCTCTACTTTGCAGTCACTCTGGGGGCTGGGGCTGGTGACTCATGTTCTGGCTTGACAGGGACTCAAAAAGCAGCATGTTATGTGGAGCATGGGAAAGCTCACATGGGCAAAGGAAAACTTAAGTTCTTTTAGCAAATCATTGGCTTCTGGCTAATAATTTAGTACTATATATATGATATTTCTATTTCTTCTGAGGGGCATAAGCGCAATCCAAAGTGTTTCTTTAGGTTTTTTGGGTCTATTGGGTGGTCATTAGTTTGGTTGTATTCTTAAAATGTATAATTTGGTGCGAGGAAACAGTTTAACATCTGTTAATAGTTGTCTCTGTTGGGATGAACTCAACTCATGGATGCTGGGGAGGGCTGGCCGACTGTTAAGTTCTGTGGAACATGAACTTGAAGATGATGTGATTATTAGTGTCTGGTAAAGATAACATTATTAGGTGCAAATGAACAAAAAATTAATAGCAAAACTATCATTCTTTGAGACTTCTAGTAGCTCGTGGCGGACAGCTTGTTTGTCTAACTTTTGACTTCACAATGGCCTTGTGCGTGATACCTTTGCTTGTGAGTTAGCTTTTTGTAAATTCTTGCAGCTACTTTCTCGTTAAAGCAAAAGATTTTGTACTACCAACCAGTCATGTTCTTCTAGGGTTGGTTTTGACGGAGAATGCCATCGCCATGTGGACCAAGTCTTGCATGTGACGAGTATCTCTTATTTAGCAGCCGAGCTTGGCACTAGGAAGCTGGAATTTTTTATATCGTTGCTAATTTTATGTTTGACAGTGTTGAGAATGGATAGTATAACTCTCTATATTGGTAGAGATAATCCATGAGCAATCTAAAACTGAAAGTCATAGGGTTGGTAAAAACTTATTCACAGCCGATATTTGCATCAATCCAATAAATACATGATACATGTCTTCATATACTCTTTTTATTACTAATACTAATAGTTAAATAATACATATATTTCAGCTTAATTTATAACTTAACCGTGTTAAATTTGCCTGAATGGTGTATTAGTTTTTATGATAAGAATTTGGGACTTGCCCATCACTAACTTATCCGGCAGCAGTTTCTCAAAAGGAGATGTCTCGTAGTTAGTTTGGTATAAAGTTGAGCAATGGAATAGTGAATTTGAAAATAAGGGAAGGAGAAAGAAGAGGAGAGAATGGGAAGAAGAGAAATCAGATTTGTATTACGATAGCATAAGGTCCCTATTACAATCACCCTACTTATATTAATTAACAATTGAAAGGAATTCAAAATAACAAGTGCATATAAAGTGTGACTATCTTAACTAACTTTCCCGCCAAACTGAAATATGAAAGAAGAGGCCTAGCTGCCATTTGAATTTGTCTAGTCAGCTGCCTAATCAGCTACCTACGTCACTTGCAGCTGTTATTTGTGTATCAATATCCCCGATGAGCAACACCTTGTCCTCAAGGGTGAAAGAAGGAAACCCGGTCTTCAAAGCAGCGGCAACTTCCCATGTTGCATATGAATTGTCCAGATCCTTCCATTTGACGAAGCATTGGGCAACAACCTTGTTACCCTTTTTGATGAGCCTTCTGGCAAATATAGCTTCAGGGAATGGACATAAGGGATTGAAAAAATTAATGACAGGAGGGTGAACGATTTCAGAAGAAAGGTCATAGTAGAATTTAAGTTGGGAAATATGGAAGGCGGGGTGTATTTGGAGTTCAGGAGGTAAGAGTAGTTTATAGGCAACAGAGCTAACTCTTTCCACAATTGGATAAGGGCTAAAATATCTGGAGGTAAGCTTGTGGTATGGAAGAGTAGACAAGGTGGATTGCCGGTAGAGATGGAGTTTAACAAAAACCCAATTACCAACAACAAGTTGTTTATCAGTTCTATGAGCATTGGCCTGGCTTTGCATCCTCTCTATGCTCTAGCCAAATGAAACTTTGCTAGCTGCAACTTAAATTCCCTGAGCAAGGCAACTTCTTCAATAGAATCTAAAGAGGAATCACCGAGAAGATATGTCAGATGCAATGGAGGAGGATAGATATATCGCAACTCAAAAGGGGAAGTTTGAATGTCAGAGTGAGTGCTAGAATTATACCACCATTCTACTAAGGGTAAGAAAGAGGACCAATCACAGGGAGTGTCTCTAAAGAAGCATCTTAGATAGGTCTCCAAACATCTATTGTGGACCTCCGTTTGCCCATCAGTTTGAAGATGATAAATAGTGAAAATTTGCGATGTAACTCCATGGACTGACATGAATTCTTGCCAAAAAGAGCTAATGAAAATGGGTTCCCAATAACTGGTCATTGTGGCAGGAAATCCATGAAGCTTATAGATATGATCCAAGAATATAGGCACCAATGATTGTGCATAGTAAGGATGATTTAAGGTAATAAAATGACCATATTTAGTTAACCTATCCACAGTGACCCAAATAACAGTTCTGACTTTAGACTTGGGCAATCCTTTAATAAAATCCATATTAATATCAGTCAAAGGTAGGGAGGGAATAGGCAAGGGTTGCAAAAGGCCAGGGTAAGCACTGGTGTTATACTTGTTCATTTGGCAAATTGAATATTTGTGGACAAAATCAAGGATATTATTTTTGATTCCATTCCAATAAAAATAAGCTAGGACCTTTCTGGTAGTAACATCAATGCATGAGTGCCCTCCAGCTGGTGTAGAGTGCCGTAAGGTCAAGATCTTGGTCCTCAAAGTGCTGTCACTACCAATAACTAACTTGCCCTTTCTCCTTAGTTGGTTATTAAGCTAAGTGTAATGTTTTTGGTCTGCAAGGTGCTGATGAGAGCTTGCAACTCAGAGTCAATGTTCTAGCTGCCTTGAATCTCCTTCCATAATTCTTCAGGTACTGCAGTTATCATCAAGGTCATAAGCTCATCACCTGGGACCCTCTATAATGAATCAGCTGCCACATTTTCCTTGCCTTTTTCTTATTGGATTTAAAAGTCAAATAACAGAAGTTTGACGAGCCATCTGATTTGAGAATCAGTATGTAGCTTCTCCTCTAGGAGATATTTAAGAGCTTTTTGATCAGCCCGTACAATAAAATTCTGTCCTAGGAGATAGTGTGACCACTTAGTCACTGCAAAGACTAAGTCCAACAATTCCCTTTCATAAACTGAGAGAATGATGTGCCTCGGAGTAAGTCTTTTACTGATAAAGGCAATTGGATGATCATTCTGCATAAGGATAGCCCCAATACCTGTACCACTTGTGTCTGTCTCTACTACAAATGGGATACTATAGTCAGGTAAAGCCAAGACAGGAGTAGAAGCGAGGGCAATCTTCAGTTCCTTGAAAGCCTATTTTGCAGCTTCAGACCAATGGAAATTGTCCTTTTTGAGCAGCTCAATTAAGGGCCTACTAATGAGTCCATATCTCTTAATAAACTTCCTGTGGTAGCCAGCCAATCCAAGAAAACCTCTCAATTGTTTAACCCTAGTAGGAGTGGGCCATTGCTGCACTGCACCAATCTTTTTAGGATCCGTGGAAATACCTTCAGCAGAGATGAAATGACCTTAGTATTCCACCCTAGAAACTCCAAAAGCACACTTGGATTGTTTGGCCAACAAGATGTGTTGCACCATGGTATCAAAGACCTGTTGGAGATGCATAACATGATCTTGCAAGTTGCCACTGTATATTAGAATATCATCAAAGAACACTAGGACAAATTTCCTTAAGAAATGCTGAAATAGGTGATTCATTAAGCACTGGAAGGTCGATGGAGCATTGGTTAGCCCAAAAGGCATTACCAAGTATTCATAATGGCCCATGTGTGTTTTGAAAGCTGTTTTTAGAATGTCCTCCTTCACCATTCTAATATGGTGATAGACCTCAAGTCTATTTTAGAAAAAATTATTGCACCTTCCAATTCATCTAGTAAGTCATCTATGATTGGTATACGAAATTTGTCCTTGATAGTACATTGATTCAATTCCCTGTAATCTACACATAGCCTTCAAGACCCATTTTTTTTGCCTACAAGTACCACAAGGGAAGAAAAGGACTGTTGCTGTATTGAATGATCCCTTGTTGTAGCATTTCTTGAACAAGTTTTTCTATAATGTCTTTCTTCATCGCTGAATACCTGTAGGGCCTTATGTTAACAACTTTAGCTCCTGGTTGCAAGGGTATCTGATGATCAAATGGACCCCTGATAGGAGGTAGCGAAGTAGGCTCAGCAAAGATCTAGGAGTACCTTCGAAGTAGGTGCTCAAGAGGAGATGGAATATTATGCTCTACCATATGTCGGGCATTCAGAAAAGAGATAACCCGACTAGATGTACTAACAGACGAGCCCTTCCACTCCAATCTAGGCAACTCTAGCATTGCTAAGGTAATAGTCTTGGCATGACAATCAAGGATGGTGTGATATGAGGATAACCAATCCATGCCCAGGATGACCTCGAAGTCGGTCATATCAAGTAATAGAAGCTCCGCTCTAGTCTCGTAACCATAGAATATGACCACAAAGGACTGATAGATCTGATCCACAACCACAAAATCGCCCACAAGAGTAGACATATAAACATAAGTACCCAAAGACTCACGAGAAATATCCAGGAAATGAGAAAACAGAGATGATACATATAAATAGGTAGATCCTGGATCAAATAACACCGAAGCATCCCTACCGCAAACAGAAATAATACCCGTGATCACGGTATCTGAGGCTACTGCATTTGGTCTGGCCGAAAAAGCATAGAATCTAGCTGGAGCACCGACTGGCTAGCCTTCACCTAGCTGAGCAATAGCTTGCTGACCTCCCCATACCTGGCCTCCACCTTTAGGACGACCCCTACCCGCAAGTCCCCTATCTCTAGGTGGTCGGACAACTGGTAATATAATCATGGGATGATGACCCTGCTGTGCTACCTTGCCCCGAAATTTGGGACAAAATCTCTTCATGTGACTCGGATCTCCACACTCGTAATAACCTCTCAGTACCATAGACTGCTGCCCCGAAGTATGACCCTGATGGCCTGAATATCCACTAGAAGAACCCTGGATGGCTGGTGGGCGATATGAACTCTCTGGCATGGCACTGAAATAGGCACTAAAAGAACCCTGATGAGCTGGTGGGCGGTAAGAACTCTCTTGCATAACACTAAAATAGGATCGCGCTAGAGCACCCCAAGGAGGTGGTGGTACTGGATATGTGGGCCAGCTAGGCTGACCCCTCCCAAACTGACCTCTGCCCCTAGCCGGGGCACCTCTAAACTCTCCAGAGAAACAGGTCCTCTTGTCCTACTACATCTGCTCTCTACCCCTCTGGCAGTAGCCCTCAATCCTCCGAGCAATCTCCACTACTAGCTAATAATCAGTACCCTTCTCAACCTCCCAGGCGATACTAGCCCGAATACTGGGGTGCAACCCTGCAACAAATCTCCGTATTTTCTCTGCGTCGGTAGGAAGTATCATAAGTACATGGCGAGACAAATCAGAGAATCTCGCCTCATAATCAGTCACTGACATCT